TCTTCTCTTAACCCTTAGACGGTATACGATCATGACTTTTTGGTCGGCCAGGTAGCCTTCTGTCCATGGCTGGTGGCAAAACTGTTTGTAAGTCATCTGGTATATCTCACTCAGAAGGATGTGGAATAGGGTAGACAATCTCGCCATAATTCTTTCGATATACTTCTGTAGTGTAGCAATCTATAGCGTATGTACTTGAATCATCTTGGTTTAGATGAAGAGAAACTTTTATAACATGGCCACACGGATAACCAGATGTTTGCCATTTCATACAACTATACGTCTTTGCATTTAGATCGACAAGGCCATTTAAGTTATTATCCAGTACTTCAAACAAAGTGTTTGAACATGGTTCAACTCTCCATGACGTTGACTTCACAACACGTTTCGTTATCTTTTTTTCTGTCCATGGTGTAACACGATGTTCCAATGTTCCTGTAAATTTAAATAAATAATACTTAGTAAAATATATGATAAGTTACGAATTTAAAGAAATAATACATGCATGGTTTCTTTTCTTGTAGTACCACTGTTGAATAGAGGCTCGAAAAAACTCCATTAACATAGTAATGGGTAATTTCCGGGAATGACGACTTAGAGCGTTGATTGATTCTGCACTATTAGACGTCATGAAACCATATCTTGCTCCAAGTTGATGTACTCTTGACCATCTTTCAAACCTGACATCTTCTAGTGTTTGAGCACACTGAGGCAAAACACGTCTTAAACAGTTTATATTCTTATTAAAATCCACTTCCCGATAAGCTTTTACAGCCTTCCAGTATGTCCATTTGTGATTTTTTATACTAGCAGACCTTGATTTTAGATTCCTATACAAATGAACACCACAAAGTCCATGAAAAGCATCTGGGAAACACCTTCTAACAGCGTTGTCAATTGAGTTTTCCCTATCGGATATGATTGTCAGATTGCTAATAGGACCTATGTAATCCCTAAGATGCCCCATAAACCATGTCCATGAATCAGAGGTTTCAGATTTGCCAACCCCGTAAGCTATTGGCAGTATCCCATTGTTAGCATCCATGGCTACTGCTAATAAGTTTACTCCAATGTATCGACCTTTTAAATGTGCTCCGTCAACTATAATAAATGGGCGCATGCAATTAATAAACGAACGAATCTACAAAATCATATACACAAGAAATATAATCATTTAAATGTGAAATGCATGTAACTAACAAAAATGAGTCAACAAAATTATATTGATTTACTAACCGCAGCACCAATGGCGATAAACAGCAACTCAAAGCGTCCATCTCTATCTGTTTTGATATGAGTTACCGACCCAGGATTTTTCAGCTTTAAATTGTGACAATAAGCCGGCAGTTGGGCAAACGATGCTTCTGGCGACCCCCTCAACAATTCCAAGGCATAACATTTGGCTCTCCAAGCTTGAGAATATGAGATACTAATCTTGAACCGAGCATTCATGTCAGTCATAATTTCATGTCCCCGATATACCCTACCATTCAAAAACATTAACTCAGCCAGAAAACCACCCAACACCTTTTTGTTTGCCTGTCTATGGTGAGGAAAAACTTGGGTTCTTGAACATGTAAGTTTATCAATAAAAGTCCTAACTTGAAACATTTCGCAATCTTTTATCCTCTTTGCAATCATACGCCACATACAGTTTTTGTCAATCATACACCTTGTTTCGAAACGATCTTTGCTTGATTTGTTAACTTTTAGTTGATAGCCATCTTCCACACATTTCATATACAAAGTTATCTTCAAGTCTTCCTTTGTATCAAAACAATCATCTTTCTTGATACGAATAATTTTTGTGTAACAATCAACTGCTATCTTTACCAACTCTTCTTCCGGTATCTGAAGTAATTCTGGCATATTCCAGTTATACTCCCGTGGCATTTTCTTTGGGGACTTTTCTTTGGGGATTTCTTCTTCTTCTTTTTCTTCTTCAGTGTTATATGAATTACAGAATGGATGTTCAACATGTTCCTTTACAGTCGTAACTTCCTCCTCATTATCATCAACAACATCTTCCTCGGCAACGGCTGTTTCATCATCAAAATTCGGGTATTGACCAATATCAAAATCATTACACGCAGGGTCTATTTCTTCTTCTGAAAAATCATCAAAATCCGAGTATTGACCAAGATCAAAGTCCGGGTATTGACCAAGATCAAATTTCGAATACTGACTAGTACTCACAATTATTTTTGTTGGCTCATCATCGTCTAACTGGTCAATACGAAAACCGGAATTTGGTGTTGAAAGTTGATTGGGATTTGGATTAGGGAAAGGTTGTGGGTTTTGAGATTGTGTTTGGTATTGGAAATGTGGTGAAACAATATTTGCTTGGTGATGAAATTGTGGTGGAACCATTAAATTTTGAGCACCATAAACTGGGGTTGAAAAACTTAGTTGATTACTACCCGCTACTGACCCAACTTCACTACTTCTAGGTTCAACAACATACAATGTAACATCATCACTTGAAACACTAATGTAAGCAATGAATCGTTCAACATCTTCATTGTCGGTTAACAAATAAACTTTACCATTTCTCTGATAAGATAGCCTAAATCCACTTAGGGGCTCTAAATTTAATTTATTTGCAACACGTAACATTAGAGTTTCATAAGTTAACTTTTTTAATGACAGTTTTAGTTGAAGATTCAAGGGTAAAAGCATATATTGTAAAACACCATGAACATTCTCCCATGACCCTCCAAAACACAAATCTATCCAAACATGATCAACATTAGATCATTTCATTATTGTAAATTAATTTACTAAACAAACGAGCTGCGAAACTAAAACCTGTTGCCGGATGGGGAAGGATGTCGTTGGATATAGGAACGGATGTCGCCAGAGAGAGTGATAGATGGAGATGGAATGAGTTGTGATTTAGGGATTTAGGTTATGAGTTGCTGCTGCTGCGTAGTTATATACCCAAAACATTTGTGTTGCGAAATTAAAACCTGTTGCGAATTCAGAAATCGAGTTGCGAATTTGAAATTCAGTATTGCGATAGTTAGAATCTCGTTGCGATTTACTAAATCGCAATGCGATTACGTAAATCGCAATGCGATTACGTAAATCGTAATGCGAATTAGGAAAATCGCAATGCGATTACGTAAATCACAATGCGAATACGTAATCGCATTGCGATTTTCCATTGCGATTTACGTAATCGCATTGCGATTTTCCTAATTCACATTGCGATTTACGTAATCGCATTGCGATTTAGGAAAATCGCAATGCGAATTTGGGAAATCGCAATGCGATAGTCAGAATCACGTTGCGAATCTGGAAACTGATTTACGATACCGGAGATCGCGTTGCGAATTATCGATCGCATTGCGATTTAGTTGGTCATTTTGGCAAATCCAAAAAAAGTTGGTTAAAATCGTATATTATAAGGCATTTTTGGTCACTGATGTTATTTTCTCTAAAAAATAAGATAAAAGAGATCAAAAATGAAAGGAAAGAGTTAGTGAGGTAATGATAATAATCAAAACAATAATGAAAATAAAAAATCCCACCCCACATGATATCTACCCCACATGCTTGTTATTTTTTACCCGGACATGATCTCTATCCCGCAAGTTGGTTTTAAACAAGTCCTAACCGCATAAATTTCTAGTTCACATGCTTTGAACAGAAAATAAAGTAGAAAATAATTTCAAAGCAACCTAGTGTTTGAAATGAGGTTTTGGGGTAGGCTCTAATTTCCTGTAGTCTCCTGGTTTAGTTCTAAAGAAGGTGGTACCCGAGTTCTCCTTGCTGGTGCCCCTTGGGCTGGCCAGACCCTTAGTCCTAAGCCCATTACAAGCTCATGTGGACTAAGTTAAACTCGGGAGGATCCATTCCCTTATGCTCGCACGGTGAATAAATTCACACGAAGACATAAGGTATATGAATCCCGAATGCTACTTGCTAGGCCTGTACGGAGAATAAATTTTCACGAATGCGTCGTTTTCACCCCATTTAAACAGGGTTCAGTACAACTATTTATTTGAAAAGATAATCAAAAGTAAACAATAAGAATCGAATAAATAAAATAAAATTTAAACTTGTAATTTTCGCTCAAAAAGACAACCGAAAATTAATTTCGGCCTGACTCACTTACCTAGTCCTCAGAGAGTCGCCAAGCTGTCGCGGACGTCTTTTGGATGGGCCCGGAATTGGGCTTCGACTTGAATAAAATATTAGAGTCGCCACCGATCATTTATTTTTCGTAAAAAAATTTGGTTAATCGGATACCATCTTACCTGATCTACGTTTTACTAGAAATATTCGGATTCGGGAATCAGTTACAGTCAATGAAGGATTAACACCCTTGAACTGCCCTTTCGGTATCGTTTAATTCATCGGTTGTCTTAATTGCGAAAATTGAAATTAAAATTAAAATTTAGAGATTCGATTCAAATTACTTACCTTTGATTGATTAAAATTATCCTAAAAAAAGATCATAAATAAAGTTAAAAAAACAAACAAACACAAAGAGTTAGTATTAAAATCGAAATAAAAAAGAGTAAATAAAAGGAATGAAAGAAAATTCAAATTAAAAATTAAATTGGAAATAATTAAAATTTATGGATCAAATTAATTCTAGGAATGAGATGCAAGAAAAAAATATAAAATTAAGGGATTAAATAAAAAATAGAAATTTAAAGTATTAAAATATCGAAACAGAAAATTAAAAGACCAAACAATAATTAAGACAAATGTAAATTAATGACTAAAATAAAGTATTTGAAAGTATAATGACCATAATATTAAAACATGGCTAGACTAGGGGAACTTAGGGGTGATTTGACCTTATATCTAATGGCTTAAATGTAACACATGGGAAAGAAAGGGATCTAAATAGGATTAAACTAAAATCAGTGACTAGAACGCAAAAAGCTATGAAATAAGGAGGAGTTAACGTGTGGTTTTCCTAAAGTTAAAATAAAAGCAATTCCTTCCTTATTAAATTCCAGAACACGTGAACCAATTCCCTTTCCCACTTTTTATCTTCATTATGCGCGTGAAACCCTAACATTTTCCCTTTCTTTTTCGTTCAACACTCAAACCCCCACGGTAGACGGCTCACCGATGACTCTAAATCCGACGACGACGACACCCCAACTCCGACGACGCTCCCTCGACACAGGTAAGGTTTCGATCTACCCCTTTATATTTTTTATTATTTACTGCAACTGAGATCGTTCGATATTAGAAAACATGGTGGTTATTTATATTCGATATACATGAGTATTTTAGTGTTTTTTTCTTTTAAAGGAAAAAATAAAAATCATATCTTTGTTGTGAAAAAATAAAAATAAATAAATACTGAACTTAAATAGAAAATAAATGTATGAAAAGAAAAATAAATTTAAATGTAAAAAAACAAATAACCTTGAGAATATTGCATGTACTTCTCCTAAAAAAAACTAGCGAAAATCTCCCCCTCAAATGTAAATATTACATTTATTTATAGGAAAAAACTATGCTAATTTTAGACTCCTGTGCTAAAACTCCATTGTTCCTAATTTGTTGAGAGTCCCATGTGACTAATTTGTTTTTTGTTGATTTGGTGGTGTTGTTGCCGAGGAAATCACCGGGAAAATCGGATTGTTGGAAGCGGCTGGTTTGACTGCTCCATGTGCCTGCAGCGCTGAGGAGGGAAGGGGTGAGAGTTAGGGTTTGTAAACCCTAACTACCACAGTTTGGGTTGCGGGCCGGTTCGGGTCGCTCCAGCCAGGTTGCTTGTTTGTTGCTGGGCCACCCACTATTTGGGTCTTGTGTAATGGCTCTGGGCTGCTGAGTGTTGTATCTAGGCTTCTGGGCAACTTGTATTTTGAAATTTGTTTGGCTTTTGTTTGCTTGTGGGTTGCCAGATTTGTATTTGGGCTATGTAATGGGACGAAATGGGATGTCTACAAGTGGTCTGTCTTTGTGATTAACCCCAAACACGAGATGAGATTGGTTGGTATATAGTGTGGTTCTGGGGAACCACTCTTCTGGGTGAGATTGGTGTATGGGTGAGTGTATGTGTGTCTGCATAACATCTTAACTATCATGTTTATTGATAATTCGGTATGTGAATATTATCTGTGATTGTTTTGGATTATGCTTGAACATGCTTATATATGCACTTTAAGAACACACTAAACCTTGTTGATTATTCCCCTTAATCTCTTCTTTCATATACTCAAAAGTAGGAGACTTGGTATTTGGGGTTCAATAATATTCAAATTTCATTATTTCATAGTATGCAAAATTTTCTCAGATATTCTATTTTATATTTTATTGGATATAATTTTATGTGTTTAAATATTTTGGACATTGGACATAAATTCTGGTTTGGATTATGGATTTAAAGTTTGAGATTTGATATTCGTTTTATTGATGTTAAATTATTATTTCATTTATTTTAATGGGCCTCCTGGATCTGGCCTAACCCACTTAAGTCGGGCAAAGGGGTTACAAAAGTTTTAAAGGGGTTACAAACGTTTTAATTTTTTTGTTCATATTTTAAAGCCTTATAGACGAAAGAATGACAATAAAAGTATGAGGTGTGAAGAAGATTACGAGGAAATATAATAATTTTAAATTAAAAATAAAAACCCCATGAACTCAAGTAGTCCAAGAAACATGTTATTAAGTAATATTAGTCCAAATTATAATGACTCTGGCCAACTACTTTGACTTAACCAACTCTTATCCTCATTAATTTGGTTGCCGAATAAGTTATACACGGCAAGAAATTCCAACCCATAAAATTATATTAATGGAAATTAGGTTTGGGAAATCCGAAAAAGATGCACATTTGGTCATCTGATTAACAGGGACCAGTTCCTAACAATCCTAAATCCCCACTCAAAAGCAACCTTGCATCATTCCCTCATATTTTCAATTATGTAATTTCATTGATCGGATCGGATATATTTGTGTACAAGTAAAAAAGGTTTGCTTTAGGGAAAAAGAAGGGAGAGTAAGCAATCCCTTGCAGGTCACGTTTTCATCTTCTTTTTTCCAAGCAAATGAACATCGTAATCCACCATGCAAAACAACAACTAACTTAAAAATGAAATGTATGTACATGGATAAATGAAAATGATTACCTGTTGAGGACAATTTCTTTGGTTGAGGAATGGAAATGTCGCTGCGAGCAGGAGGACTATCGTAGGAAACAACACGGTCAATGAATCCAGCAAAGGTCAAAGCTAATACAAAAACCAGAACATGTCCTTTCATAACAGCCATGTCCGACAGCAGTACAATGAAACAAGATTGGAGGCAGCTAGAATGAATGTTTTTTTCTCGTGTTGTATAGATGAGTTGGATCCTGCAAATATTTTTTATGCGGTCTGTTTGCTTTACATAATCACAATTCGCATTACGACAATGGAGGTTAAATATTGGAAGATTGAGAGCAATCTGGATTTTGATGTACACATTGTACAAGAAAGGGAAGCTAGCTGTACATATATATCTTTTTTGTCATTCATATGCTCTTTTTTTAACTAAGGGGCTATTTTTATAAATAAATAAAATTATAATATCAAAAAAGCTTATAAAAATTAATATAAATTATATTTTATAGGACATATCATATTCATAGGCCTTATATAGATTGCTATAAATATATTGTATTTATTTTTTTCTAGAAAAATTTAGGTAAGGGATGATTTCCTAAACTTGGGTTAGAGTATACCTAAGACTTAATTGGGATTTACATAGGAATTTACAGATTGCCCACCAAGAGTGATGGTGGTAGGGTTCAAACTTAACCTTACAAGTTTAAATTCCTAAATCTCAACCACTTATACCAACCTTCGTTGATAATACATCATTATTTTTTTGTTCTTTCCCAGGAAATAAGGGTTGTAACCAGCAATTTAAATAAGATTGCATAAAATGTTATCTATTTAAAATTCGAGTAAATTATATGGTTGATCATTTTTGTTTAAGTTTTGTATATTTTTCTCAATGAATTCAAGAACATATAATATTTGGTTACTTTCATTTTTATTTAAGTTGTAATCACTGAAGGTTAATTGCCGTTAGACCTTTAATAGATTGGTGACGTGACACAATGAATACATAAAATTAAAAAGGACACTTGGGTACTAATTTATGAGTAAATTTTTTTATTTTTCTTATTAAGTTTTAAAAGTAATAAATTGGTGAAAAGCTAAATCCATTTTTTTCATTTTCTTTTATGTTTTTTTATAAATAAAACCAATCAAGAGCAAGCTTTATTTGTTGGCCTATGATCGTGCCAACTGCTTCCATAAATATCTCTACTTGAGATAGTTCTGATTGTGAATATTATAGAGAACACTGAAGTTAATGATTTTGTGTTGGTTGTACTAAACATGGGGCATATAATGTCTAAATTTGTGTTCAAACATCGTATATTCTGTCTGTTTTATGTTTTGGATTCATGTCGAGTTCGAGAAAATTGGATATTTTAAACACATAATAAAGGGTATTAAGATTAAGGAACATGTTGGCAGCTCGATCAAAAGAACAATAGTTAAAATTTACAGTTATAATGTTGCTTGGATTCATTATCGCAATATTAATGCTTGTTACAGTAGAAGCAAGTTCAAGTCACCAAGATTTAAGTATTGTTGTGTTCGACTGGAGGTTATGAAGTACCGTTGTGTTCGTACTGCAACGAGAGGCATCCTGGGGAGTGCTAGAGGAAGACTGGAGGGTGTTTCCGATATGGGTCATAGGAGCATCGCTTTATAGATTGCCCTCTTCTAGCTACTGGTTCTTATGGTCCTAGTCAGTCACAGGCTTCTATTCGGGTACTGACTCGAGGTAGGGATCAGAGTAGACCGTCTGGTTCTAGTTCTAGATCGGCTAGTAGGGGTAGATCGACTTAGAATAGGGGTTCTGGTAGATTTATAACAAGACAGTCTGGGTTGGTTTATGTTACTCGGAGGTAAGATGAGCCAGATGTTATAGCGGGTGCATTCTCTATCAATTCTATTCCATATTTTGCTTTGCTCGATAAAAGTTCTACTCACTCCTATATGGCGAGTGTGGTAGGTGGGAGTCTCAAAATTCCTATTGAGAATACCGAGGCAGTGTTCTCTTTTCATTTTCATGCGGGTGCTCTGGGGGAATTTAACAAAATTTATAAAAATTATCTACTAGAACTTCACGGTGAAAATTTTCCAGCTAATCTGATGGAGTTGCCTTTTGGGGATTTTGATCTTATTCTAAGGATAGACTGATTAACCGCTCATCAAGCTAATTTGGATTGTGATCTGAAAAAGACAACCTTAAAAAATCCTGGTGATCGTGAAGTTGTCCTTATCAAGGAACGTCGTGGTTTCTTAACTAACATTGTGTCGGTTATGAAGGCTAAAAAGATGATTAAGAAGGGGCAGTTTCTTATCTTGCTTATATCTTGGATCCAAGGCAATCTGATGAGGGTATTGACAAGATCAGAGTTGTGAGGGAATTTATAGATGTTTTTCTGAAAGAATTACCTGGTGTACCACCTAAACGTCATGATATTAAATTCGGTATCAAGGTATACCCGAGTTCAACTCCGGTGTCTTTGGCACCCTGTCGAATGACACCTAAGTAGCTTAAAGAATTAAAGGTTCAGTTATAGGAGTTATTGGATCGGGGTTTTATTCAATCGAGTGTCTCTCTATGGGGAGCAATGGTTCTGTTTGTTAAGAAGAATGACGAGACACTATAGTTGTGCATTGATAATTGAAAGTTGAATAAAATGACGAATAAGAACAAGTATATGTTACCTTGTATTGATGATCTTTTCAATCAATTTCGTGGAGGTCCAATATTTTTTTAGATAGACTTGAGATCCAATTATTACCAACTCAAAGTTAAGAATTCTGATGTACCTAAGATGACTTTCCAAACTCGTTATGGCTATTATGAGTTTCTTGTGATGCCCTTCGGACTGACTAATGCTCCTACCACATTCATGGATATGATGAATCGGGTGTTCCACCCATATTTGGATAATTTGTTGTTGTCTTCATTGACAATATACTAGTTTATTCTAAGTTTAAAAATGAGCATGAGGAACATCTGCGGATTGTACTGCAAACTATAATAGAGAATCAATTATAAGCAAAGTTTAGTAAGTGTGAGTTTTGACTCTCATATGTAACATTTTTAGGTCATATAGTTTATACAAAGGGTATTCAGGTGGATCCAAGGAAGGTTGAGGCTATTATGAGTTGGAAACAGCTGAAGAATGTATCATATGTTTGGAGTTATTGGGCTTAACAAGATATTATCAGAGATTTGTTGAGGGTTTTTCCATCATTGCTGCTCTTTTAACAAAGCTTCTTTGAAAGAATGTTCCTTTTGTCTTGTCAGAGAACCAACAGTCCATTTTTGGGAAGTTGAAAACCGTCTTAACTGAAGGACCAGTCTTGATTCAGCCCAATCCTGGTAAGTCTTACAATGTACAGTGACACGTCTCACACAGGATTGGGATGTGTACTCATGCAATATGGGAAGGTTGTGGTGTATATATATCGGTAGTTGAAAACACATGAATGTAACTATCCTACCCATGATCTTGAGTTGGCAGCCGTGATCTTCGCTCTTAAGATTTGGCCACACTATCTTTATAGTGAGAAGTGTTATATTTACACTGATTACAAGAGTTTGAAGTACTTCCTTACTCAGAAGGAGCTTAACTTGAGACAACGTCGGTATTTGGAATTACTTAAGGATTATGACTGTGAGATTAAGTATCAACCGATAAATAATGTGGTTACCGATGCATTGAGCCGTAATGCTATCGCGGATTTGAGCGCCTATTTGCTCGGATGAGTTTGTATGAGGATGGTTCTAACAACCATATCCCGTATACCTTTCCATACACGAGATACAGAGGTCACATCACGCTATAAATTTGTTTTCATTTGAAATCCCATAAAAATTAGTTTCAATTTGATCAACTATAAAATATGATATTTGTAAAAGCAACCTACTAAAACTATCACTTAAATACATTACAAATTATTCACTAGAGTCTGATTACATACCGACTATGTTCTCAAAATGAATAAGATTGTCATAATGTTACTGAGGAGTCAACCTTTAATTGATGAAAGTTGTTAC